CGTAATCAAAACAGCATGGCAGCATGGTACCAGCATAAAAATAGACACAACGACCAATGAAACAGAATAGAGAACTCAGAAAAAAACCAACATTTACAGCCAACTGATGTTCAACAAAGAAGTCACGAACAGACAATAAGGAAAGGAGAATTTCTTCAGTAAATAATGCTGGGAAAACTAGATATCCACATGCAGAATAATGAAATTAGACCTTTTTTTCACACCATATACAAAAATTAACTGAAAATAGACTAAAGACTTAAGTTTAAGACCTGACAGTATGAATCTACTAGAAGACATCATACGGGAAAACCTCATGACAGTAGTTTGGGCAATGAGTTTTTAAAAAATATGACCCCAAAAGAACAGGCAACAAAAGCAAAAATAGACAAGTGGGTTTACATCAAACTAACAAGCTTCTGTACAGCCAAGGAAACAGTCAATAGAGTGAAGAGACAACTTACAGAATGGGAGAAAATATTTGCAAACTATACATCTGATAAGGGGTTAATATCCAAAATATATAAGGAACTCAAAGAACTCAATAGCAAGAAAACAAATAACCTGATTAAAAAATGGGCAATAACCCTGAATGTACATTTCTCAAAAGAAAAGATACAAATGGCCAATAGGTACATAAAAAAATCCTCAACATCACTAATAATCAGGGAAATACAAATTAAAACCACAATGAGATATCACCTCACACCTGTTAGAATGACTATTATCAAAAAATCAAAAGATAACAAGTATTGTCAAGGATATGGTACAAAGGGAATACTTGAACTGTGTTGGTGGGAATATAAATTGTTACAGCCATTGTAGAAAACTGTATGGAGGTTCCTCAAAAACTTAAACATAGAACTACTGTATTATTCAGCAGTCCCAGTACTGGATATATACCCAAAGGAAATGAAATCAATATGTCAAAAAGATCAGCACTCTTCTGTTTACTGTAGCCTGATTCACAATGGCCAAGGAATGGAATGGTATCTTGTCCATCAATAGATGAATGAATAAAGAAATTGTGGGATATATACACACAATGGAATGCTATTCAACTTCAAAGAAGAAGGAAATTTTGTCATTTGCAACAGCAAGGATGAGTATGGAGAACATTATGTTAAGGAAAATAAGCCAGGCACAGAAAGACATGCCTGTGCATGGTATAAAATATCACATGATGTTACTCACATGTGGACTCTGAAAAAGTTGATCTCATAAAAGTATAGAGTACAATGGTAGTTACCAGGGGCTAGGGTGGTTGGGAGGGCAGGAGTTGGGGA